CGGTTTCATTGAAGGGTTTTATAGCCTGTTTGGAAGCTAAGACCACACTGTCATCTACTAACCATTCGCTGAGGTGGGTCTAAATCATAGTTCCCCAAAAGTGGAGAAGAAAGGTAGTCGCAAAGCAAAATTTCATCAGGTTTTGCAGATAGTTGCTCTCCTTCCTGGGGGAGGATTAAAACCCTAGATACAAATGCTTACAATCTTTCAGACAAAGATTAAAAAAGCATTGCAAAAAGCAGGAAGTAAATTAAATAAACAAGCTCTTCCAATGAAGCCATGGTAAAGCTGCTAATGACATTAAAAGGGGAACAAAATGGGACCTTTACAGTAAAGCACACACACAAGTTGCCAGTGATTAAGAACATCAACCTTCACTGTGAAAACTCTTTTCCATGCTTAGTTTTGAATTTTTTCCATTTAAGAATTGCTTTCCAAATATACTCAGATACTCTGAAAATTCCAACAAAGCAGAAAATACTGTTCATAGAACAGTAGTAATGTGGAAAACTTCTTTGCTGTTAGAATTGTGAGCTGTAAAATTACATATATTCATTTACATGGAAAAAAACAACAGAAATCACCTACCCAAGCATAAGTATTTTCCAAGAAGGATACCAAAGTTCAGTTGCATACAATGAATTTTTCTACAAAACAACTTCTGTAACTTCGACCTGCTTTATGTGTTTGTATGATGCTTAAAAACCTCCAGGAGCAGCTGCATGCTCATTGCCTGAGCACCCCTGTCCCTTTGCATAACCAGTTACACACCTCTCAGACATACTTACATCCTCTGCCAAGGCCGGAAAAAGTGGCAGAAAAGAAAAATTGCAATGGAACTGAACTTAAAAAAAAAAAAATTAAAGGATTGGCTTAGTTAGCTCTTCAGATTTAGTTGTGAGGCATTATTATGAAAGTATAATTTTAACAGGAATTTTCCATAATTTAACATGGATAAAATGAGAAAATGTGACAGGGCAAGGTTTTGTAGGGGACATAATGAGGAGAGGCTTCCACAACCCACAATAACAGAGGAGAGCTGGTAGGAAGGCAGCATTTTCAGGATCATCTCTCCTCCTGCGGGTGAGGAGCACAGCACTGACCTCCTGGCGGACTCTGCGTCGAGGCCCCATGAAGGTGCAACCGAGGAGAGGCAGCTTGAATCTGTCAGAGAAACGTAAAAGCAAAATCAGGGTGTTTGTGCTTTACAAATTAGCTGATACAAGCCTGAGACCTTGCAGCCTAACATTGGGTTGGGACTTTTAATACAGAAGAGTAATTTGTGGCTCAGCACATGGCACAACCATGGGCACTGCAGGAGGGATCGGCGGCCTGGGCCAGTGGGAAAGGCAGTGACTGCAGCAACCAGCACCATGGGGAGGGGAAACATGGCTTTTGGGTGGATGGGGAAGGATACAGCTGCACTGTGGGATCACTGGTGGCCTCCTCTCCATGCCCTCCAGTACCAATGAACCAGCAGGGCTCCACCTGGGTAGTTTTGCCTTTACTTTTGTAAGGAAGAGTGAGGGGATGGAGAGCACTTGTGCTCTTTTCACTTTGGGCAAATACCAGTAGTCAGGTGTTGGAAGGGAAGTCGGACCCGGAGTAATGATGGAATCTCAATATGAGTATGGTCGTTCTCGATTATTGCGCAGCTAGCAAAAGCATATATAGGCAGAAAACAATAACATACGAGTCACACTGTGGTTGGTAGAACGCCACTATACACACGCCTCCATCGCTACCGTGATTGGGACAGATCATCTATCCATGCGGAGGGGCTTCTCCATCTCTTCCAGTCATAGTTCCGCCCACTTTCGCTGCAGAGCATGGGCTGTCGAATGGGACTAAGTCGTGCCCATTCTCACTCAGCCACTCCTTCACAGTCAGGGAGCTTGGAGATGTGATATCCCTCCATTTCCACCTCTCCCCTAACTGATGCTCTGTGCCGCACCCCGATCATCTCTCTATGGCCACTCCAGCTGTGATGGATTTCACGTCCTCCTTGAGATCCTTCAGAACTGCATTTCCGTTTGTCCCAAACAAAAGAGGAGGCTGATCTGCCTGATCTGCTTCCTCTCTTGTTTAGGGACCAGGGAGCATTGGACTATACGGAAGGCCTGGATCTGACCCAGCACTCTTCTACTGCAGTTTGTCACGTCGCATCGTCCCTTCCGAGAGCATCGTCCCATTCCAGGCTCAAAGCACTCCGGGGTTTTTGCCCCCACTAGTCTGATTGGAGAGTTTACCAGGGTGAAGTTCTGTGTAGTTAGATATTTCCCTCTTACATTTATTCATGGCCAGTTCAAATCCTTTTGTTTTATAAAGTTTGGCCCTTTTGCTTAAGTAGCTCTTCTTCCCTGTGGTTTCTATTTATTTCCTCTCTGATGTACTATGAGAAAACAGTTACCCTTCTGTGCTCCTCATAGATGTATACGCCAGCCTTCAGCTGCACAACCAAGCAAAACAAATTGTTTAAGTCTTCACTTGTAACCTTATTTCTTTCTTCCCTCCTACCTCCAGTCATTCTCCATGTCTGGAGTTTGAACTAATGGATCTCAAAGTGAACGGCACCTCGCAAGGAACAGGTTAGGTGAAGTCTCACTAATGCCTCATACAGTGACATAAAAACTTCCCTTTTCCAGCTGGAAATACTTTGTGGGATGCATCCAAGTAGCACAATCTGTCTAAAATCAATCTAAAATGGACTTCATCAAATCACCACCTGGAAGGCCCCTGCACCAAAACTATTCCTGGTCCCCATGGCCCATCGCTAGCCACAGAGGAGCCTTTCCCTCCCTGCACAACAAGACCCATTTTCCCTGGTAGTTACTCTCAGCCATCCTCCTCAGAAAAGCAGCTTTTGGCCTTTGCATTATTTCAGGGAGGTAGAGCCTCCTTGCTGTGACAGCACACTCCTGCTGTAGGCCCTCCTGGGACACCCTCAGTCCCAAGGGCCCGCTTCCCTCGGAGGCTCAGTTCACCTCAGCCCAGCATTTCACGCCAGCTACCTTCTGACTCAGTCAGGAGACACGTGGATCTCAAAGGGACTCAGAGAAAATCACCCCTGGTTCAGCTGCAGGCTCCACACAAGGACTCTGAGGAGGCATCGCCTTGGGCTTCATGCCTGCCCCACTGAAGGGTGTTATAACCCTTGCTTGGGCTCCGTAGCCTGAGGCGTGTACCAGTGGGGGAATGAGATTCCCCCATTTACTATGAAATTTCAGTGCAACATTGCTGGAATGCAAGCATTGAGGCAGTGGTGGGCTGGGGCGGTGGGAACCAGGGCCAGGCCGGAGTCGCCACCGCACCACGTGCGGGAGGGAGCCTCGCCAGTGGCGCCACCATTGTGCCTCTCCCCAGACACTGACAGCTTTCCGGGGCGCTCTGTTCACCCTCACAAAAGACAGAGGCGTCGCAGTTTTATTTCCCATGGTGCGCGTCAGTCGGCTCATCAGGGTGGGTCACCCACTAGGCGCTTTGCTGAGGGTGAAAGAAGGCGTGAGGCCACGGGCTCAGGCCGGGGGCAAGCGGGTAGGGAATAGCTGCTCCTCCTCACTGTCCTCCCATTACCACAGCCCTTCTTCCCCACAAAGGCTGCTTTGTAAGGATGGCGAAGACCCGGAGCAGAAGAGGGGGGAGGGTTTTCCCTCCCTCCAGCTTTTGGAGGTATAACCTACCTCGGCTGTTACGAGATCTCTTTTCTGTCGAGTTGCATTAAAGTCATTTCTGGAAGAAAACAAAAGGGATCTTGTATAATCAAAGGTCCCTGGAGCGACCTGAATAAGCAGCTCCCCAGAGAGAAGTGTTTCTCTCTGATTACCATCACTTTATCAAAGAGGTCTTTCTTTGATTAGCATTTTAAAAGGTGATTTTTTTTTCTTTTTTTTCTTTTCATGGTCTCATCTTACAGAATTGGGCAGCACTCCAATCTCTGCTTGGATAGGGAGCTACCTGGAGCTTGTGGGGCAGACATAAATAGGCAAAACAGGCTTACATGACAGGATACAAAATTGTAAAGTGGCTTCATATTTACTTGACTCTGCATGTGAGTGGCTGCGAGTTCCTCCAAGTGTTACATGAATATACTGTGATGGTACTTTTAATGCCAAGAGATGACTTTCCAGCTGTAGCTGACTTAAAGCCTGACTAACTTTAGAAACAAAGGCATTAAACTATAAAACATACTTAGTTTTATCAACAGCCGGCATATCATTTGACGTTCATGTGTGTTCACTAGATGTATTAGAGGTTATTAGACATCCAAAGCTATGTCCAACTGGATGCTTCCATTTAAATTGATGGCATAGTTCCCGTTTAATTCAATGGGATCAGCAACATTCCCTAGTTTGGGGTTTGTTTGGATTTCAGCTTCTACATGAAAACTTCTATTGAAAATGTTTATTTTAAGGCTGTATAACACTTACTTTTCTGTGCTTCAAATAGCAGCTAGGATTTTATCATGCAATTAAAACTGTAGAAGGATATTCATTTAATGTATTTTTCCAGTCATGAAATCATGATCTCATCCTGGTTTCATTCCATTATTCCTCTAAGCTTTCTTGAGACCATAGAAGTATAATTTTTCATAAGGACCTCCATTTTTCAAACAGAGGACCCATGCCCTTTATGTAAATTCTTTGAAAAGAGTTGTAAACATTCTGAAAGCGTGTTTCACATTCAATGTATATGTACATGACATTTTACATGTTGAAGTCAAGGCTATATTTTTACTTTCTAACTTGCACTGCGTCACACTTATGCATTCTTGTTCTTGTTTGTAGGACTTGACAAATAAGGAATAAAAACTTACCTTGAAGTTCTTCTCAAAAGAGAAAGCTTGCAATAAGATCCTGTAGATTAAAAAGTCATCAAGTTAAATGTTTTATCTACAGCCTCACTCTGCACTTGGCAAACAGCAGTTTGCCAAGTTTAAAACAACACTATTGAATTTTGTTCTTTAATGATCTTAATTTTTCCAGAGCACCTTTACACAAACTTTTTCTCTTTCCACGGGATGTAGCACTACATAGTTTCCTTCCTGACAGTTTGGTTCTCTCAAGTACTCATCACCTGCAAGTTTCCATGGTCTCAGTTCTGGTACATGCTACCATGAAAAAAAGCAAAGAGTTCGTAATTCTTCAGAGGCTCAGACCAAAACGGATAAAATACAAGAGGTGCTCAGAGCTTTCCAGAATCAAACTTCCAGGGTGGTTACCTATAATCACTTTCTGAACGTTACTTGTGAAACTCAATTGCAATCCACTTAAAATGCTCTAGAGTCCATGCTTTAAAACAAACAAACAAAGCCCTTCTTTCTCATATTGCTTTAGAAATCCTTATAACTACTGCAAGAAAACTATCTACAAGATCCATTAGCATTACATAGAAAAGAGGATTGTTTCTATAACCAGAAGAGCAATTATTTACCCTAGCATTCTAAAAATGCTTAAACAAACTGCAGGTGCAGTCTGATCAAACAAAATCATACACCACTGAAAATCATTATATGCTTACACATCTGGCAATAATGGAAAGAAAGACAAGAAACTTAAATTTTATTCCTAAATAATTGTTTCGTAACAAATTCAGGCATAAAAATGTACCTTTAAAAAAAATAAGAGCTATACTTTAGTTTCTGTACCTGTGAGAGAGAATGCCGATACATAGTTTTTTAACCTGTGTTAAAAGACATTTTTTGTTTATGAATTCCAGCAAGGGTCAAAAAGATTGCTTTATAATGATAGAAAAAGAAGGAGCCATGCTATCAAAATATTTAGAAAAATCTTTTTAAAAGGTAGAATTCCTACAAAAATGGAATCAAGGTCTTACCTTGCAAAGAGGACAGCAGTGAATGAAGCAAGAATATACTCCACGGTATCATTAAATTGAGCTTTCCCACGATGTTCATTTCAGTTTAACTTAATAATAGGAAATTTATCCAGGTTAATGGCTTTGATTAGGATGGCATCTTAGAAGTATGTATTTCTACAGTGTGTTTAAATCCTTTAAAAGTTAGATAGATGGATGCATTATTTAAAGTAATGCAATGCAAAAAAGGAAAAGAAAAGGAGACATCAAGCTTGGTAGCTACATAGGGCTTCAGGAGCTTTGCAAGCGTTGCATGCAACTTTCTGGCTGCATGTGTCTCATTAGTAATGCATGGTAACTCCTCAGCAGAGCCTGTATTAGTTACACTTTCACTAGACCTGCGAGTATGACTCCTCCGTTGAATTGAATCGGCCCTTTATAACAGCAGACAATGACACAGAAATGTTGCCATGTCATGATGGTTTGAGAGTTCCTTCGGTCGTCACACACCTTTGTGTGCTTTGAGGCTTGCGCTGAGTGCTGCCCTTTACTGCTTATTACAGTGAAACATTTTTGCAAGACCCTGCAATGATGTTACTGTATAAATTACAACCAGGTGGTTTTAGAGATTAACATATTAAAGTTCGGTATCTGTTCTAAAAGGAGAGACGTGAACTTCCATTAAATAGTACACCTGGATTTTTAAGAATGTTTTAGATATATTTTTGTGTATAGTTTGCTTATATCACAAAAGAAAGCTTTGCAAAGGATAATTATATTTCATTTTTAATAAAACATGTTATGCAAATCCCACATTAGCAAAAAGGAGAAAGAAGTCAACAGGGCCAATGGGTTTTGTTTCTAATGTTCATTAAAATACAAAAATATAATTTCACCAAAATTAAAAATGATCATAAAGTAGAAAAATCTTACCTGCTTTACTCTAACATTAACAGAATCATTAAAAAGCACAGTTTTAAAGACGCATATAATGCTAATTGAAACTCTTACTACTCATTCTAATTTGCAAAGCTTATCTTTTGCCTAACTCTCCACTCTTCCTAGGATGTGCTTTGTGAGACCCTCTGCGCATGCCACAGAAGGTGGATTTGGACCAAAATAAAATTCAGAAGTTGATGGCCTCTCTTGGGTAAAAAGTTCTCCCATCATTTCTTCTAGCCCTTTTTCTTCCCCACTCCCCAGCTGGACTAGAAGAGAAGACAAAGGAAAACACTCAACTTATCCAACCAGAGACAAAGACAAAACCCTGTGTCCACATAGCAGCCAACAGTACTCATGCAGGTTTGGGATCACTGGTGGCCCAAGGATACTTACTGCAAACTGATGTAACGCTACACTATGTTTGGAGTATTTCTTAAGAATTATTTTTACTACTGTTGGATCTGAGAAGCTGACATTCGCATAATTTGCATTTCAGGAGGTTTTTTGCTTCTGACTAGCTATGGGCTGGTCCCGTGGTCTGGCTGCTTATCTGCAGCTGGACTGCATCTCCCAGCTTAGTTTCATCTCTTCCACGTAGTCCAAAACCACTCCAGGTGGCAAACAGAAGCAAGAGAAGTGAGTTCCTGATCCCAATTAAAACACTGATGTAGTCATACACACAGACTATTGTGAACTATTATGCGGGCACCTATTTCATAGGAGGCAGCAGAGGCTACTCAGCATTTCACCCTCTCATAAACCTACTTTCAGAGGATGACGCCTTAGGTTGCTCCCAAGCTGAGATGAACCCAAGTGTTAAAGTTTCCAAATTCCATTACCAGTCTCCGAATTGTCTTACTTTCAAGCTAAGTCTGGTTTAGAAAGTGTTTCAAACTCCTCTAAGAAATCTGATCTGGGATTCTTCCCTTCCTCAAGACCGTATTTCACACCATGCTTCATACACAGCTTCACAAATAAATCTTTGCATTAATACAAATGAACTCATGGTTTAACAGAAACTATGAAAAATATCTTGTTGGGTTTTTTTTTTTTTTACAATTTTTCTATAGCAAAGTTGAGGGAATATTTGGTGCATGTTAATATTTCACAGTTGTTTAACTCCTAATATTTAAAATGTAGGCCAGGCCTCATCAGCTGCAAAGGGACTTTGTAAGAGTTAGAGCAATATGTTTCATTAGGTATGGACATCTCTGCTCAAGGCAGGGTAGGAAACAGCACAGTCCCGAGCACATGAAAGATGTTAGCTAATGAGGAAAAAGAATTATTCAGCCAAGTACACTGAGCTGTAACTCAGAGGACTATATGAAGAAAGAGATAAAAAAAAAAATTATATCAAGGCAACAACACACATTATCTACACAGGTAGTAGAATACTCACAGACTGGAACTTCTGAAAAATTTGAACAGAAAAAAGGCATTAGAAAATAATCACTTTTGTAAGAAAACAAACACAGTACAGGACGCACTGGTCCATACTTAAAATATGCTAATGTTACATTTTACGTTACAGATTTTCCTTTAAAAATAAAATTTAAAACTTTCGATGTTAATGTATTTTTATATTATAGTCAATATTAATTTGCCCCAAATTTTCCAACATCACATTTGAGAGAACTTAATTTTATGTACAGGTTACACAGTTTATCAGGATTATAAACAATGGGTGAGAAAATAACTGCCTTCAGTGCCACAGGTACAAGCTTGCCCTGGTTTGGAATCGGATCCACTGTTGTCATTAACAAAACATGGTACCTTTTAGAGCTGGAACTCCAGCCTTCATTGAACTGCTATTTTCAACAAAGAATTCAAGTGAGGCCACATTTTGTTGTGCACACCTGATCTTCCTAAGGATTAGCATCAGAGAAACTAGGGAACACTCCACAGCTGCCCAAGAACCTTGCTAGGGGCTCCAAGATCAAACTGTTGCTGTTTCTCTGTGGAAGCGTGGCTCTAGCCAGAGCGGAAGTTCAATGACAAGAGCTTGATTGCCATCCCTGCAGAATCAGGACATTGGGAAAGGAAACATTTTTATGAACAGGTTTTCCCCTTACACCTTCAAACTTCACGGTAGCTACACTTCTCCAGTGAAGTTAAGCCCTCTAGTGGGTGATCAGAAAGTAACCATTTAGAATAAAAATCTTCAGCCACCCAGGCAGACACCAGCCCGATTCCATGAACGTTTCTCATTTAGAAAGCAAGTCTGTGGGGATGACATCACTCTACAGGATTAATGGGGCATTTTTATAGGATCAGAGTTCAGTTCAGAAAGCATTTTTATTATGCTAAGAGCCTTTTGGTTGAAGAAATGACATGCAGATATCATCTCTGGGTATATTAGTAGCAATGTGGTTTTATTTTCAGCCTTTCCATAAAAGAACAGCAAAACAAAAATCCCCAATTGTTACAAGCTGTGCTGTAGGCGGAAAAACTGATACATCAGGTTTCCCCGTAACTGTGAAATCCACCCCTAAGGTTACTGGCATCAGGTACTGCATCTCCCCATGCCTCCCCAGTTTTCACACCATGCTGTGTGTCCTCTCTTTCTCCCTGCACCCAGCTGCCCTAACAGCTGGACAAGACTCGGTTCTGGACAAGCCACAGCACAGGGTCCGTATGTGCCAACTGGCAGGCCAGTACACATTTCCTAAGCAATGAGTGAGCCTTTGCTTTTCAGTCACCACACGAGCCAAACAACTAAAAGGCTTATTTTTCCTCAGCCGAAGCTAATTAGCATCTATCAAGATGCCAGTTTTCACAAAACTCATAGGAATTCAAGTAATCAAATTTGAATTTAGCCCTGCATAGCATCTTTTCCTTAGACAGCCAGGCTAGGAGGCAGAACATCACTGTTTTCAGCAGCCCAAGAGCTAGAATAATTTGTGAGCAACTCTACTACAAGGTAGAAACTGTGAGGAACTCACTGGATGAGAAATGGGTCAGATCCAAGGGTGGAGGAAGGGGGGACTGAAGAAAGCAAACCACGCATCTTGCCAGAGAGACAGCAAGTGCCTGGAATAGAATATCTCCTTCACTTACTGTAAGACAAAAAATCCAGGAATGTAAATTGGCAATAGACCATACAACAGTCCCCTCCACTTCAATGGGAGCATGAGGGGTTTGAACAAGGGTGTTCTACTTCCATTCAGGTCATGTAATGCAGGATTTTGTGGCAGATGCTGACAGCTAAAATGGGAGATGGATGGAGAATTCCTTTTCAGAAGGAATTTGTTCAAGTTACATGTTTAACTCTTGAATAGCTACGCTTCAGTGAAGGTGCCTTTAACGCCTTTCTACAGAAAAAAGCAGGAGCGTTGTAACAAATGTTAACAGCTATAAAAAGCCATGAACACCTATTTTCCTAAACTAGGGCAAAAGGGCAAAATTGTACTATTCTTTCCAACTCCCCAACCGAGTACACCAAAATGACCTACCACTAAACAAGTGAGAGAAGAAATACCACATTAATAGAAAGCCCAACAAAAATCTCACGTATCCAAGGTGCTCCTATAACAATTTCAGTATTGGCATAGAAATGTACAATAGACACAGAAATACCAGGCGTAGAGAGCAAACGCAGCAAAAGCCAGGCTCTCGGTTGCTTCATCTCCAATGTTTCTCCAAACTGGTTTTCAAAACGTAGGAAACTACAGCCCAGGGCTGTTCCCGTGCCTGTTGGGTCAGGTCACATCCAAGGCCTCGCTCAATTACTCGCAACTTTTCCAAGGGACAGAATCAGCCTTTCCAACAGCCTTTTTGCTGGCACATCCCATCTGTTACTCAGAACTTTACTTCTTTGTCCCTGGGAGACCACTTCCAGAACGAAAATCTTCAGTTTCAATTGGAGAAGAAACTGGAACTTCTCCAGCGTTTCTTTTCACACTTGATACGTGCACACCCTAGCTAGATCTCAGAAAATCAGTCCTATTTTCAACTCCAGGCTTTCCCCACTTACTTCCCTAAGGCCTTCAAATTGCCTCATCTAGCTCACGACACAAGCGACTGCCCAACTTCCACAGAGAATTTTTTCTTTTTATTAAACCATTTAATGCTGTTCTCCAGGTCTAATCCCTCTGTGCTTTTACTGTGCGAGCATGTGGTTGAAGGATGAGTAATTTAGACCCTGTCTTATTTGTAACGCAAAATCCTTTTTATGTTTTAAATTCACAAAATACTATTTTTGAAATAGAATATATGGGCTTTGTTATTTAAAGAAAGAAAAAAAGTTTCCTACATTTAGATGTACTAATCCAGAAAACTCTGCCTCTGTATTATCTGGTATGGCAGGAGTTCAATAAACCTCCCTCCTCCGCCCCTGTAATTACTTTTGTATTTAAAGTTTACATTGTCAAAACCAACGTTAGAAGGGCTGCCTGAATACCCCCCCCTTTAGCACCATGTTGAGGGAGTTACCCTCAAGGGTGTAAATTCCATGCTACCAACAACTAAGCAAGCACACACAAAAGCAGTTCACACAGACGGACAGTGATCCTATTCCTTAGCCGTGTTTGGAACTTGGCTCTCAGCATGGTGTTTCAGGTGAATGTATGAGGAAAACAGAAGTCCTTTGCAGGAACCGACAGCGCCAGAGTACACGGAAAGATGCTTCATGCCGCATTACGCTAGGGCAGCGTATGAAAGCAAGTGACATGATGCACGACATGCAAGTTACCAGCTAGGGGTCAGGTCCACACTCCTGCACATTACGGACTAACCCCGTAACTAGGCTGAGGCAGGCATTGTCACATGGGAAGAACACAGGCTACTCACGTTGGCTCGTAGCACCATGAACAGCAGCCATCCAGGTGCTGGAAAAGGTTCACATTTGTTTAAGATTTACAAGAAAGACAAAGATCGAACTGGGCTTTCACGAACTGCTACACTGTTGCATGGAGCCACAAAACCCAGGATGTAAGCCTCGTTATGCTCCAATGAACACACACTCATGAACCGGAAAATGCTCTTCTTCATTCCCAAGACCCTACCTATCTAGACTGACTTACTATGAAGGAATAAAAAAGAACTGCCAACAGCCCTCTGGTTTTACTTTAATTACCAATCAGTTTGCATATCAATCTTAACATACAGTAAAAAAAAAAAAAAAAAAATCTATTTACCCACACAGAAAAACGCAAATAGAAACATGAAATTTATCAAATTCTGTTTATTGACTGTCACATGACTGTAGAACAATTTTAACGGTAAGACTTCTGGTAGCGTGCACGAGCACCAGGTCCTCCAAATTTCTTGGATTCACAACGGCGAGGATCTGCAACCAGCAGAGTCCTATCATACTGGATTAGAATATCCTTGATCTCTTTCTTTGAAGCTTCATCAACATCTGTTTAAAAAAAAAAAAAAAAGAAACCCTTCAGTTTAAGAGGTTTCACATGGAACAAATCCATATTAACAATTTTTTTTGCACCAAAACTACCAGAAGCCATACATTTCCACTTAAGGCTAATACAACAATCAAAACAACTTACATTTTTGATAGTAAGCCACCAATGCTTTGGAAATAGCTTGACGGATAGCTGTTAAAAAAAGGTAACAGATCAGTAAGGGTTGTAAATGTATTTAGAACTTAAAACACAAAGTGCCAGTTATCCGAGACACTTGGCAGTCTTGTTTTCTGCCAAATTGTCCTTTCCCTCCCTAATCTCCCCTCCCACGTACTCCACGTGACCTTTACTTTGGCAAATCTGAAGAAATCCGTGCCAAGAGGCCACCCACAGTTCATTTGTCGATTTGACAACTGCCAGCTAGCCAAGGAATTGTACAAGGGCAGTCTCGATCACCTTCCCTTCAGAGTACTAACAGAGGTTCATCTTCTACCTGCAAGCGGTCATCTTCCAAAATCCTTAGGAACACAATCCTCTGAAAGGTCTATACTATTCAACAAGGATCAGGGTGTTGAAAGACTACAGGGGCAAAAGGGACAATTGGATGGTATGAGCAGTTCTTCTACTGTACCGCAATAAAAGCGGCCTGTAGCACAGTAACAGTAATCAGAACCCAAACCAGAAGCATGGGCGTACCTGTTAGGCTGCTATCTGTCAGAACATTAAGATCAGGACTTTGGTGAAAATCTGAACTTTTTGAAAAGATGAATGCAACCAACTCTGAGACTGAAACATGTCGCTGCTCTTCATGCAGCTTCAGCTCCACTTCACTAACCTATACCCAAACTGTAACAACAGAACAAATCTATCATTTGTAGAGCAACTCTATCAACAGCTAATGCAAGTGTGTTCTCAATCTGCTCTGCAAGGGAAAATACTTAGCTTTGCAGGTCACCTGAAAGATGCTTCTGAACAACATGGAAATGTACAACGAAAGGTAAAATTTCTAATGATAAATCCTTTTCCCCTCCCAGAAATCTTTCTGCTCAGCTGCGCTTCAACTGTCCTGTCACACTGCAAGATGCAAAGACCATATCCTCACATTTCCTCAGAATTTCATCAATTTACTTCATTCAACTTACTCTAGATGTTACCACCCCGCACATAAAATATAGCCAGTAAGCCCTTAATAAGTGAAAAAGAAACAGAACATTGAGATGTGCAAGTTACTAAACTCAACCCTCCCAAAATGCGTGGCTTGACTTGTTCTAGCCAAGACCGAAGATCCCCCACAAAAATCATACCATATATTTGTGCTACGTGGCCACCACCCTTTACACGGACTCTGATGTCAACACCAGCAAACCGTTCCTTCCCCAGGAGGAGGACAGGTTCAAGCAGCTGAGAAACAAAATAGAGTAAGAAAATGCATTTGTGATCAGAGACAACAAGGATTAGAGCTTGTAGTGGGTTTATCAAATGTGAAGTTACTAAATGTTCTGAAAAACGGAGCCTTGATTTTGCAAGCACAGTCCCAAGTTAAACACAACTCTTACAGAGTTCTTTGACATCTACTAGTACTGTTGTAAAATAAATTTACTGAAGCCTTGAATATTTTTTTTTTAAAGTTTAAAAAATTTTAATAGCAAAGCACAGGTACAGAGGGATTAAGAACAAGGGAACAGTTTACGTAGAATGCCATAATTATGTCAGCTCTAGAAAAAGAAAACAAGTTATTAAAATTGAATATCTGAAATAATTTGTGGGTGGTTTTCTCCACTATTTATTACACTTTACATTTATCTAGCCAGTTTTACATTCCCTCAGCAGTGTTCAAACAGCTATTGTATGAAGTCCTAAAGAATCTTTTAAAATGAAGGGTTTTAAGTCACCCATTTCGGTATTAAAAATGGATGTGAAGTGCTGAAAATACTTCACATTACGTTACCATACATTAATCCAATTAAGCAAAACAACCCCACCCCTCCCAAGAAGACACTCATAAAAAGTGTTTTCTGAATTTTCGTAACAGTGTCTACATTTTAAGTCATCACCTAACACACAACCAAAAATTTAGTACTGTCAATAAGGCAAGCAACTCTTGACTGCCAAGCAATTACATGTATAACTGTACTTTAATATCCAAGGATGGTGTGGGAGGCTGGGTGGATGCTTACTTTATACTGCAGGGTTCTGGGCTCAATCATTTCCAGAGGTCTCCCATTGACTTTAATAAGGCCATTTCCTCTCTTGCAGTGGGCAACAGCAGTTGCTGTTTTCTAAAAACGCAAACGTGTGTTAGCGCAGCACTTCATTTTTGCACTATTGAGTTTCTATTGAACAATCTAAAAATCTTGGTTCTACCCCCAAGATCAACACCTCGTACTAAACAAAACAGTACGCTCCTTACCTTCCCCGGTATTCACTCAAAATATTAAAGCACCAGCTTAACAAAGTTATTTTTAGTTTATTATTATAAATGCTATGTATTTATAACATTTAGTTATAAATAGGAAAAATATACCCTCTCCGTTTTGCAACACGGTATTTTTGTGGCTCATTTCCTCACAAGAACCGGTTATCTAGAATTATTCGAGCCACTGGATCCCAGCAATGCAAATTTTATCTTCCCAGCACCACCTCGTAACACGGCTCTCAGACACCGGCATCGTTGAGCCAGGCCCCTACAGCCTAGGGCCGGCAGCGGCCGCTCCCAAGACGGAGGGCAGAACTTCGATCCGGAGGACCCGGGCCCACGCCCTAAGAGAGCAGAGCTCTCCCCCCGCTTACGCACGGGGCCGGGGCCGCGGCGCA